GAGCCCTAGAGTTGGAGGTTGCTGTGAGCTATGACACCAAAGCACTCTACCCAGAGTGAAAGCCTGAGTCTCTATCCCCCTCAGAATAAAAAATAAATAAATAAATAAATGGTTTCTCTGAGACCTCTGCACTGAGGGCATGCATGATTAGAAGCCCTCTGCGTTTCCAACTGTTCATCCCTAAAATGTGTGAGATAATGCCCACAGTTCTAGTTCTAACCTGCCACAATGTCATTATTTACCCAATTTCCACTAGACAGTCAATGTACGCAATGACTTCTGAGGAACCCCTGGGGTTCAAAAGAGTGTTGTTATTCTTTACCTGCCAAAGGTACCAAAAGATGCATCATAAAAATTAATTCCATGTTTGAGCGAACAGCAAAGATCCATCAGGAAGTTGTGAACAAGCTCCCTCACCGTGGTTTTCCCTGCATCTTCACCAGAAACCTATGAGGATTTTTTTAAAAGTCAGTGAAAATTCCAAGCTCATAAACCTTAGTAACAGCTACATAGCAAAAACTGGACAGTATCGCCTGCCTAATGACAACTTAGAAAACATTTTCAATTCAGTACTTGGTATCTTTCCAAAAAATAAACAAAATACCGCCCCCCCACCCCGCAAACAGATGCATTGATCAAGATGAAAGAATATGCGTAAGAGGAGCAAGTTTAAACCTGTATTTTTAAAAGCTTAAAAATGACTTAATTTCTCTTGCTCTTTTGAATAAAATTCCACATTTGGGAGTGTTTTTAATGAAGCCCCTGAGGCTTCCCAATAATAGTGCATAGAAAAACATATTTAAAACAAGAGGATATGGGCAAGTCTCCAAGATAAAAGGAAGTGAAATAGTAGGCTCTTGAGAGGTAAATTATTATGAAGTTAACAGGAAGTCTGAGCCTTCACTACTCTGGCCAACTCTATGTTCAGAAACACCCTGAGGAAAATTAAAATGCACTTTGGCACTGGGTCAATGTGAGAGCAACTGTTTTAATTTAGCACTTGACTTAACGGCTACAAAATAAGTTACACATGGCAGGAGGTGAAGATTCTAGACCACTGGTTCTCAACCTTCGTAATGCCGTGGCCCTTTAATACGGTTCCTGTGGGTCGCAACCCATAGGCTGAGAACCACTGCTCTAGACACAGGGGTGTAAAGTAAAAGGAACAAGCCTTAAAACTCCAGAAGCTGGATAGGAAAGAAGGGAAGGAAAAGGAGAGGAAAGGTAAGAGGAAGACAGCCTGGACGAGCCCAGAGATCGGCAAGCCCTGCAGGGAGCACGAAGATGATGTTCAACCAAAGCAACACCAGTTTTCTCTGAGGACTGCATACCCATGATGAGGTCACCCGAGACCCCAAAGTGAGCGCACCTTGCTGTTTTCTGGGTTTACATCAGCAATCCCATTCCAGCTGTAGAGAGATGCTATGTGGTTCAGTAACTGTCCAGTAAAGAAACGCACCTTCTGGGTTTTTGTGATAGTTTTATTGTGAACCACCTGAAAATAATACAACAAATAAAGCACAAAGAATTCAAATATTTTAAAATAATGTTTCTCATTATATTTCTTTTCAGCAGTGTCCTCCAACCCTCCCCCCACCACACAACATACAATATTCATGTATTCAACATATTGGTTGGCTTTTTTGTGCCTGGGATTCTATTTATATGTGATTTGGGGCCTGCTTTTATTTATGAAGCATGCACTTTTCCCCCCGTCAATAAAATTTGCTTTAGAACATCATTTCGAAGGACTAAGTACCATTCTATCCTATGAGTGGACCACAATTTATTTAACCACTCCCATGGTATTTACAATTATGTTGTTTCCAAACTCTGGCTCTTCTCCATACACCCACGATTGGCATCCTGTACAAAGTCTTCACTGCAGCTCTGACTATGAACTTGGCATGGGTTCTTATAAATGGAATTGTGGTACAAGTACTCAGCTCCACCCAAAACTACCCCCAGTTCAGAATAACCCTGCCTCAGGGGGCACGAACATATTTAAGACCTGTGACATAAACTGCCAGAAACACTATCTTCCAAGGGGGCTGTTAACACTTCTTCCAGGAAAGTATCTGATTCAAAGCATCTTTGCTAGCACTGAATATCAATGTTTTAAAATTCAATGCTTTTTCTAGGTGTAAAAACCTGTACATCATTATTTGCATAACTTTAAGGTTTCTCAACCTCAGCTGTGTTGGCAAACATGGTGGGACTATCCTGTGTGTGGCAGAATGTTTAGCAGCATCCCTGGTCTCTACCCACCAGATGCCAGTGGCACCTCCCTGGCTGTGACAACCAATCAAAAATGTCTTCAGACTTTGCCGAATGTCCCAGGGAAAGTATAATCACTCCTGGGTGAGAATCACTGTTTTTAATACTAAGAAAGAAAAGCATTTTCATGTTTATCAGCCATGTTTATCTGAGCTTTTCACAACTTTTCAGGTTGAGAGGGTCAGTTTTTCTAACCGATCATTTAAGGGGCTTCTGTAGTAAGTGATCCTTTTAGCAAGTCTTCAAATTTCTGTAAGACTTTTGTAAGAGGCAGAATATGGAACATGACACAAAATAATATTCTACTAGATGTATAAGTTAACTATTATTCGTAACTACACCTCACACTTACTACACCAAGTTACTGTGAAATATTGACCAATAACTTTCCTGCAACGCTAATAGAGGCCTGAACACCAGGGGTTGCTCTCCTTACTCTTTATTTAGCCTTCTAGTCCGGGATTTGCTTATCACCAAGAACAAATTTCAGCTTAAGTGTAGCTTAAGTAACACTTCTCTGGCTGGGCGCAATGGCTCATGCCTGTAATTCTAACACTCTGGGAGGCCAAGGTGGGTGGACTGCTTGAGCTCAGGAGTTTGAGATCAGCCAGAGCAAAATCAAGACCCCATCTCTACTAAAAAAAAAAAAAAAAAAGAAAGAAAAATTGAGACAAGGGGATCACTAGAGCCCGAGTTGGAGGTTGCTGTGAGCTATGATATCATGGCACTCTACCCAGGGTGACAGCTTGAGACTTTGTCTCAAAAAAAAAAAAAGAAAGAAAAGGTTCTCCACTCACCCTCTGTAACAACCTATATAACATTTGGCAGCTCTAACATCCCACAAAGCACTACAGAGTATTTCTTCATTCACAAGCAAAAAGCATATGACAGAAAAACAATCACCAAGCACGTACCTTTGTTTTCAGTGTGGATAACAAAATATTGACAGTAGAAATCCTATCCTCCTTTATGCCTGAGCTAAAGATGCAAGGAATGAATTCTGAAAGTAAAAGTTTTAAAGCATTAAATACAAAAGTATTTTAAAAATGAGAACAGACGAGAGAACATTACTATGTAAATGGTACAACAAACAACTCCATTTGCCTTTTTAAAATTTTTTTTCTTTTTTAGCTATACAAATTTGCAGTAGGACATAAGAAATCAAGAGTATTTAAAGGTAACCAGGCACAGTGGCTCACGCCTATAATCCTAACACTCTGGGAGACCAAGGCAGGAGGATCACTTGAGCCCAGGAGTTCAAGACCAGCCTGAACAAGTGTGAGACCCTGTTTCTACTAAAAATAGAAAAATCAGTTGTGAGCAATTAGTTGGGCATTGTGGCCGGTGCCTGTAGTTTTAGCTAGTTGGAGGTTGAGCAGGAGAATTCTACTTGAGTCCAGGAGTCTAAGGTTGCTGTGAGCTACAACTAATGCCTTAGCACTGTAGCCTGGGCAACAGAGTGAGATTGTCTCAGAAAAAATAAAAAAAGGGTACCTAAAAGTGCCTAATGACAGAACTTTTAAAAGAAGTTTGGTACTTTTTAGTTCTGTTTTACTTTCTCTGTTGCTCACAACAAGTAAAATTAACAGAACACTGTTTGCAAGAGAATGCACACTATGATAATAAACTAATAGAATTTCTTCCTTAGACTTGCTCAGAGGTATGGTCATATTATTGGCTGGTGGTAGACTTTTGGGACTTTGCTTGCTTTTTCTTTTTTTTTTTTGGCTGGGGCCGGGTTTGAACCCGCCACCCCCAGTATATGGGGCCGGCGCCCTACTCCTTGAGCCACAGGCGCTGCCCTTGCTTTTTCTTCGTATTTTCTGATCCCCAGGGGAACAGCCACCAAAGCTTGACACTGGATCATAACTAATACACTGGCACAGAGAGTAGAATCAAAGCAATTCTAATTCTACTGCTGCATTCATGCTTGTGGCACACACAATTTCTACACAAGCAAATTGCTTACAAAGAAAAACCAGAAAACACCAAACAAACCCAAAGAATAGAACTAAAAATCATTAATAACTCTACTCCGCAGAGGTGACCACTCAGTTAACTGGTAATCTTCTTACATGTCCATGCTGTCCACTGAACTGTCAGTAAAATGGGATCACATTTTACAGTTTTATAACTGATTTTACACCTATTCATGTAACATTAAAAAATTCTGACATCACTGAATATATCTTACAACATCTTTAACAGCTACATTCCATCCTATGACAAGTTTGCTCAATCTCTTCCTAGTAGACAGTTATGAGGAGTCCAATTTTCAGCTATTGTGAAAAAAAAATTCCCCAACAAAATGTCTACTCACATCCTTAGCTATTTCCTTAAGATAAATGACTAGACATGGAACTGATAAATCAAGTATCTTAAAAGGTTTTTTTTTCTTTTTCCTTTCTTTCTTTCTGTCTCTCTCATTTTTTTTTTTTATTTTATCTTTTCTTATTTATTTTTTTAGCTCCCAGCAACCTCAAACTACTGGGCTCCAGTGATCCTCCTGCCTCAGCTTCCTAAGTAGCTGGGACTACAGGAACCCGCCACTATGACCAGCTAGTTTTTTTTTCTATTTTTTTGTAGAGATGGGGTCTGGCTCTTGCTCAGGCTAGTCTTGAACTCCCGACCTTAACTGATCCTCCCACTCTGGCCTCCCAGAGTGGTAGAATTACAGGCCTGAGCCACAATGCCCAGATTTTCTTTTTTTCCTCATCTTTTTCCACTGTACGACCCACTTCAGTGCCAGCAACCTATGGGTAGAGAGGCCTGGCCATGGTTCGGGGCCAATTTGCTCTGGCACGGGGCACTATGACAGGCCCAGAAGTACAGGCCTATCAGAAATCAAACCCGTGCGTAAGCATCTTGAAGCTTTGATGTACACGGCCAAACTGCCCAGCACAAACATCATGCTACAGTACACTCTGCGTCCTTCAACAGTGTAAATGGCTAGTACCCGCTGTCCTTATATAAAAGGCCAGATGGCTGAGATGACCCAGGGGAATTTTAAAGAAACCGCTAGCCCTGGCAGCAAGACATCCTGACTCTAGTTCCTGCTCACAAGGAACCCTATCTCTACAAAAAAAAAAATAGAAAAAAAACCCTAGCTGGTCATAGTGGCAGGTTCCTATAGTCCCAGCTACTTAGGAAAAAAACAGCAAAACCTGTCTGCTGCATCATGCAGCACCCCTGTCCCCACGTTGCTCTACCACAGCAGCGAAGACCCCCCCACAGATCAAGCTGACACCACCCTTAAATGGCCCCAGCAGTCACGTTTTGGAGGGAGCATAGGTTCCCCCACCCTGGAGAAGGGGTAAGAAAGGTGGAGACCTGACCACACTAGACCACCACACCCGACACTCCTCCTCCAATAGTTCTCCAAGTTCCCACCAGGATGCGGGACCGCTCCCCACCTCCAGATGGCGTTACCCAGGGAATCTTAGTAACCGTCTCATGCTAAGCCAGGTACTATCATTTATTGTCTCACTGACTCTCTTGATAAAACACAAGTGGCCCTAACAGATTAAAGGATGCCCAGCCTCACTCTGGGTGGACAGCTTGGCTAGAATTCTCTGAAGGCCTGCAACTGATACTCTGGCAACACGGGGCTGAACTACCAAAGTAATTAAACTTTATTTAAAATGCAATCCCTTCGCCAGGTAGCCAGGGTTATGAACCTGGGCACATTCTGGAGCCACACAGTCTCCTCTGTTTGCTTGAGTCTGCCTCTCTGAGGTATGTGATGGTCCTGTTGCAGCGTTGCTCAGCAACTGTAGGTGGCGTAACAGGAACACGGCTGTCCTCCCCCCAGCAGTATCAAAACAACCCCGACAATAACGTCACCTCCGCACACACAAACCCTTCATCCCAGTGTACAGAGCAGTGTAAAGGCTGCAGACTTTTGCTAACCTGGAAGAAATGGTTTGCAGTAGGCTTTTAAAAACAATCACAAGTGAATTTTCCTAAGGACAAAAAAGGCACACCTACCTTTCAGTTCCAGCACCTGCACTATAGTGCTATCATCACCAGCAATTAAAAAGGAAAGGGCAAACTGAATGTAGGCCAGCCGGACATCATGCACTCCCTGGAGGACAGAGGAGACCCACGTGTCACATGTGTGTTCCATGTAGGGCACTTACATATTAATGCCAGCAGCCCCCTGTCTTGTCCCCAGTCATCAGGGGATGCAAGTCTGACACCAGTGTTCACTCTTTATGAAAAGCAAAAGGTTTATCTTTGCTCTTCCCCCTCAGTCTTCCCCACTTTACCTTCTCTTTCAATCCCTATTTGCAATACAAAAGTATGGGCAAAAAATGGTTGTCCCCCCGCCCCCCAACTGTAATACAACACTTCTTTAGATTACGGACCACTTTGGTATATACCAAGATTCTCAGCCATCCAATATCCATCTTCTTTTGCTTGCTGAAGAAAAAAAATCTGTTTTTGAAAACCCAGAGGTAATGCAAGGACTGGTCCTGCTTTTGATTAGACACCGATGTGGTGATGTCTGGTTTTCATTAGGTATTATAAAGAAGTTACTAGCTCATACCAGAAACCACAGCATAAATGCTGTCATGTCACAAACCTACAAGACCTACTTAGGGTTGTAGCCCTCACCGTCCCATACCCATCAGACAAGGCTTGGGCAGCAGGTACCCTGAAGGAGGGCCCAAGGCCATGACAGCAGCTAGTACCTCCAAGGAAGTAACAGGGCCACCTGATCAGTTTCCTACCCAGTGTGGATAAGACAAGGATGTGTCTCATCAACTCCTGTTTTACATCTAAAGAACCACGGCTGTGGTCATGCAGGTCTCTCTCATCAGCTGTTCTAGAACTAGCACATGTGCTTAAATTCTCCACTGCTTAACCCAGAAACTTTCCCTATTTCACAGTTACTCCAAAGGTACCCTAACATGCAGCCACGAAATATCTTAATGTCACACAAATTATTAACCTGACTGCCTGGGAACATTAAGTAATATTCTATGTCTTCTAGATAGTTCTGTCCACTTAAAGTGGCAGTGGCAGAGGTGGTACCAGTAGTGACAGTGATGATGACAATGGCAGTGGTATTCATTAAGCACTTACTATGTGCCAGGAACCATGTGAAATACTGCAAACCTGTTATTTCTTAACTCCTGACAACAACCCCTTACACTACACTCATCTTACAGGAAAGAAAACTGAGTCTTTAAACACTCACTTGAGGTCACATAGGTACTAAGAAAGGAAGTCCTAGGGTGGAGATAACAAGTAACTGGACAAACAGACTGCTTTCTATTTCACTACAGAGAAGTTCTTTCTTCTCATGGCTCCCATGACACTTCATTTCACTTTTTCTCAGGGTGCAGGGACCATGGCACCAGGTAGATCTCTGTGCAAGTATTTAATTAATTCCATTTGTTCTGTTGGGTGTATGCTTCTCCTGGACAAAAAGAAGGATGTCCAACCCATGGCCTCTAACACGTGGACCATAGCCCTGCACACTCATTATATTTACTGAGTCTCTGTCCATGTTACATAGCATCTCAGCAAGACCTTATTAGACCAATGTGGGTTTGTTCCAAATATGCTGAGAGCTTTAAACTATTCTCTCTACTCTGGGGACCTATCTGTGTGCTTCTTCACACAGGAGTTTGGGCACAATGATGACCAGTGCTCAGAATGAGCCACACTTCCCTAGAGTGCCAGCAACATGCTAATGTCTTCAGTAACTAACTCAATGTTTATAAAGCATCCACTGTACTCAAGACACCGTCATCTCAGGCTAAGAGAGGACCCTGGAAAGACAACAAAGATACCATCCCTGTCCTCAGGAAGCTTAAACTGACTACTGCTCCAAGGACATCTAGATACCTCACGGTTCGAATAAACATGTCACCTAACTCAAACAGATAATTTCTTATCTTAGTTTATATATGCCTTGTGTTTCAAATGAATGCTGGTAAAATACCTAAACTTGCCTGACAAAATTAATTCCCTGCCAGTAGAAAGGTTCTACTTTTCGGGGAGAAGGGACACTGGGACTTGCTGAAGTTAGCAGTATTGGGAGTCTGGGCCTTGCAATGCAGGTTCCAGTGATCTGCCATTCTAGATCTTTCTTTCTTTATTTTTTTTTTTTTGCAGTTTTTGGCCAGGGCTGGGTTTGAACCCACCACCTCTGGAATATGGGGCTGGGACCCTACTTCTTTGAACCACAGGTATTGCCCCATTCTAGATCTTTCTATCCTGCCTATACACAGCAGAATTGAATGAGATCTTCTCATGGGTTCAGTTTATCAATGAACTGCTAAATGAAAAGGGATCTAGTTATCACCTTCTAGCTCCCATCCTGTATACCCCAGATAACCCCTAATTTCTGTTTTTTAACATTGTGGAGGAACTAGGTGAGACTCACCAGGACAGAGCACCTGCCCATGCTAGGCTTGCCACCGTCATGGCTCCTGCTCAGCCACCTGGGCCTGTATACTCCGTCAAAGACAGCCCACTTCTCCTAAAAGGGGCCACTCGCCTGCTCCTCATTCCTACGCTGTGACCACACAGGGCTAGGAAGAAAATGTCCTGCACTCTTCAGGGCTTATTCTGCAAAACACTGTCTAAAATAGACCAAAACATATTTGGTAAAACTGCTCTTTGGCATAGGATTTTAACAATGCTTTCTTTGGCTGGAGAAATATACCCTTTCTTCATAAGGCTTTAATAATTTCCTACAAAATGCTAAAATATACCCATAAAAAAAAATCACTGCCTATTATCTTCAACAACTAAATGGCATTAAGAAAGGGCAAGGAGATGGGGTGAGGCGAAGAGATTTAAGAAACATATCAACCAAATGCAAATGTGGACTTTGTATGGTCTGAACCATGAAGTACAAAAAACATTTCTGAAATAGTCAGGAAAAACCTGGGGAAAAAATGATATTGAGAAATTATTAATGGTGTTAACTGCAATCATGGAACTGTGATTTTGTCCTTCAAAAGGTTTTTTTCTGCCAGAGGACCTGCTGAAGTATTTATGCTGAATCATGATTCACATCTGAGACTTGCCATAACAGAGGCCCCCTCCAAACAAACTGAGACAGTCGGGAGACTGGGGGACAGTGGCTGATGCTGAATGGCAGGTACATGGGGAACCCTGTGCTGAGCTCTTTACTTTTGAATGTCTCTGATGTCTCCTACGTTAAAAAAACCCTTAATTTCAAGACTCCATTTCCTACAATATATATTTAGCAGTCACAAACAAATGAGGGACAGGGTCTAGGGACATGTGAAAACAAACTGCCCCCATTTGTGTGATTTTAAGACACTTGATACAGAAGATGACACAAAAGTAAAAACACTTTCAACTTGACAATAACTCCTATTTTGCAGATCCTGGAAATGTCAAACAACTTGCCCTGAAACCTGAGACTAAACAGCTGGTACACAGGCCCTATAGTCAGGGTTCAGGAAGTGAGGCCTTAGGTGGGCTTTCCTACAGTATCTGGTCTAGGTATCTAAGTCTATCTTACTTAGAAGGCTGGAAGGGCAGAGGTCAAGACAGACGGAGAGGAGAAGTGGGAGGGCACCTGACGCAGTTTCTGCCAGGTAAGACCAAAGAGCCAGGGTATTGCCCTAGTGTGAAAATAGCACACACACTTTTCTTTTTCTTTTTTTTTTTTTGCAGTTGTCATTGTTGCTTTAGCTGGCCTGGGCCAGGTTCAAACCTGCCAGCTTTGGTGTATGTGGCTGGTACCCTACCCACTGAGCTACAGGTGCCGCTAACACACACACACTCCTTTCATGAGAAATGCACTTCAGTATCAGCAGCCATTACTCATTGAATGGAATCTATTGACATCTTAATAGCACACAGTG